ATGTAGAGGACTGTTTCGATGTTGTTCATGCTCGCTCTGTTTGCAATTCGTGGCGATCCACGTTTCCCTTTCCTTCTTGCCTATTACGCCCAAGTTACTCTCTTCCTACTTTCGACGAGTACACTCTCGAAAGCAAAGACTTGTGCACCCTCGAGAAGGTCCCTTTGTTCGTCTTTAGAATCAAAACTCCTGCTGCTTCTACGTCGCCTTTTGAGTATTTTCTGGGAGGCATAGGCCGAGATGATCATGTGGATCTTCCATCTCCCTTTCAATGTTCAGTGAAAGTGGAGATCCCAGGATATGATTCAACCTTAATGAACATGGTCGATTGCCAGATCCTCTCTCTAGGCCATCAGTATAGATTGGTCGGTTGGGAACCTAAAGATTATAGAGGCGTGGCTTTTCTTCCGCTAAAAAAGAAGGGAAGAGAAGGGGAATTCATTGTGATTCTCAATTACACTAACATTTTGATGGTGTTAACAAGTGCGGAAATGAAGTGGAAGCGGCTTGAGAATGTCCCATATGCTATATGCTCGGATTTAGTTACTTTTAGAGGAAGATTTTATGCATCGTTTCTTAGCAAAAATACTTTTGTTATCGATCCTTATTCGCTGGAGGTGACTCTCCTGATGCCCTCACCTCAGAAGCCACTAAATTATCTGGTTGCATCTGGCAATGATGAACTTTTCCTAGTTGAGGTAACCATCCTAAATTTTGATATAATAGATTTTAGCCGGTTCACATGTATAGTCAGAAGGCTAGATGAGGAGGGTGGTAAATGGGTTGAGGTCACGGATTTGGGAAACCGTGTGTTGTTTATTGGACACTTTGGAAATGTCTCTTGCTCGGCTAAGGAACTTCCTGATGGTTGTGGTCTGAGTGGGAACTCAATTTTGTTCACCAATGAGCCAATTTTTGCCTATAAATATGGAGTAAATACTGGAAACCCGGAAGACGATCTCAATTGTTGGAGATCCACAAGGGAGAATCGTGTAATGATCCCCAACACATCTCCGGTTTTGGCTCTCCAAGTTGAGCGCTAAGCCGAAAATCTCGCTTTGGGACACATGTGACATTCTATTGGTTTTGTTTTAATTATATCACAAACAAACTTTAAACTTTGCTTTGATTGTAGGGACTTTGTGATCTCTCTTGTTACCCATTGTTTGGGAGTTTGTGTCTTGTGTCACGGCGATAATGCTGAAGGCTAGATCATTTGGTATTCAAGTCTTAATATTATTTTGTTCTTAACTATTTCCCACAACTTTTTCAACACCACACAACCGTCTCTGTTAATAATAGTGCGGCTGTGTTCTTGGTATCACACGGTCATGTGTTTGACCGAAGTTTTTTAATTTTGCAAAAAGTTTTTAAAGAAGTATGTTTTCTACACAAATTGAAACTTGAAATCTTTATACATAATTTGCCTTTGACCCTTCTTTCATGGCTACAAGCTTGAAAGACTGTACATTGCTGGATGGAAAAATTGGCCATGTCTATCTCTTATTTATGCCTTGGAGCCACAATTGTTGAGCCACACAGGAGATGAAAACAGCTTCAGGAGACTTTGATAAATGATAAGTGGAAGTTCCCCGATTATTGATTGCTCGAGTAATTACCCGAAATATCTAACCGTTAAGTAGTATATTTGAGGTCGATCCACAAGGACCAAAGATACTCTAAGGATTTCCGAGACTCGTTCTTAGCTAAAGCGAAAAGTTGTTTTGTTTTGGGTTTTCGGAATTGTAAATAAAAATGCAATTAAAATAGACGATTAAACTTATGAATTAAAGACATTGGGCATTAGGGTATTTCAGAGATCAACGAATAATGGAAACATGAGACAAGGAATTCAATAATTAAGCACCGTTCTCGAACATGAACATATTTAGACTAATTCTCTTTCAAGACATTAATCACTAAATTTGACTATTCGATTACTAAACTTTCGCATGTAATTTCCTAATCAAATTCGCATTACCAAACAAGTTCATTAAGTTCACAATGCGTCCTAACGTCAACTTTCGTTGGCTAGAAATACATTGCTCAATCCACATTCTTTCAGGCATTCTATCGAACACTTTTGATGCATAGAAAAACCTAGAATCTACAACAGGGTGATCAATCCTATTCTAGCATTAAGAACATGTGAATCAAAGAACCTAGAGAGTGAGAATTCCTAATACAATTAATCCATTAATCCATTGAATCTCCTAATTAGAACCCTAAAATCCAATTGGAGAACTACTCACACATAGTAAAAGAGATAACAAAAATCAATGAAGAAAACATGATGAAATTGTAGAAATAACAAGATAGGGTTTAGAAATCTTCTCCAAGTGTCAAGAGGATGGATTCCTTTGCCCAAAGTTGTTTTCAAACCAAAGAACAAAGTTTTGAACTGAAAAATATCAAGGATGATGTCTCAAAGTCGAGCCTAGGGTTTTAAAACAATAGGAGACGAGTCGGGTCGGATATGGAGTGAATTGGGTCAAATTTGGGCCGAAAAACTCGTCTGGAGAGGGGATCGATCGATCTAGAGTGTCTGGAACTCAGTCTTGCTCGTCAGAGGTGTGGATCGATCGATCTACAAAGGGATCGATCGATCTGGAGCTTCTGGTGTCCAGTTCTGCAACTGCTTCAAATGCTCGCCAGAATGACCTGTCTTTACTAAATCGGGTATAACTCCTGAATGCACCGTTCGATTTCCTTCAAATCAATTGGAAAATCAAGCTAACATCTTCATCAAGGCTGTGTCAAAACTTTAGAAAGATCTAACGGTGGGAAGTCTTCCATCTGAGGCCAAACGTCTGATACTTCTAAACGAAACTGCATCTCCAAATGTGTGTTTTATCCCAAAACAGCTCGTTTCCCTCCGAAGCAACCTAAAACCTGTAAAAACTCGATAACGGACTAAAAGACTCTAAAAACACACTTTGACTCTATAAAATATATGATCTAGAAAAGAAAACAAATACTCAAAACCGATAAAAACACAACATATCAATTATTACAGGGCCTCAGTGGAACACAAGTGGAATACTTATATTTGTAGTGCATGTCTACGTGTGTTCTTGTCTTATCCAGATCATGCATGTAATTTCACTCCTAATCTTTTAAAAGTCTAAATCTCAGTTTTTACTTTTGAGCTGATTGAATATTCAAATAATTCTCATAAATCTCATAAATCTACAAAAGACGGCTATAAAATTTTAAAATGCTTTAGGGAGCGTCTATAAATTTTATAGCATCCATATAGTGAGTAGAAGTAGTACTTATGTTGGAGATAAAAAAAAGTGATTATTTCTGCTTCAATACAGACCTATTAATGGAGGATAATTATGGTTTCATATTTTTAATTCCACATCGAACTTCCTCTTCTGCCAATAATTCACTTCCTCATCTTCCATTATATTACAATGCTATCTAATGTATGTTTGATGATTTCAATATTTGAGGTAATTGTTTTATGGGATTGTAACTTTGGATTGGTTATTGTCGGATCTTGGTTAGATTGTTTAAAAAGTAAGGACATGAATACTTTCTTGCAAATTTGATTTTTCACAATATTCATTTAATTAGATCACAACATTTAAATTATCGGAATCCAGTTTCCAGTTTCCAAATTAAAATTTATAGTTTAGAAATTTTCTCATAAATATTGTTGTTCCTTTTTATTATATCCCTTGAACATATATTGTTTGGCATGATGTCTTATCCCTAACTTACTTACATGGGTTCTTGAAACAAACTTACATTTGTATTATCCCTAACTTACATTTGTATTTGCGTCTATTTTTCGTGAATCATTTTCGGACATACAATTTTAATAAAACATCGTTTGTTTAGTTGGATATAATCCGATTCATTTTAATTATAGAATCTCACTAAGGCAATTCAAGGTATAATCGAACAATTGTATTGCTTATATGATGTATTGTGAATTGGGATTTGTCAGATCAAATAGATTATTAGGAAATATGTTTTAGGCTTTTGCATATAATTTCGAAGATCCAATATATTAAGTATTTATTCTCTTATAATTTATATCTTGAAATCTATGGACATCAAGAGTAAAGATAGTATAGCTTGAAAACTAAATTTTAGGCCAACCATAGATTTTCACTAAATCATGATCTTCATCTGTGAGGTAGATCCCATCATCAAAAGCAACCCAAAGTTTAATGACACCGGTACTTACAAAAAAAGGATTCGCTAAATATGCAGTAAATGTTACAGAATATTTAGAACCGACCCCATGCTCTAGTGTACAGACAAACGCAGTCAAATGGAGAAGGCTATCCCCAAACTTAAAACCATATTCGTAATAACGTTGCACTGAGTGAATACCGAGATCGTCGTCATCAGATTTGCAATGAACCGTAAGAACATCATCATTCCTGCTTAAAGAGTTTCTAAAATATAATTGGTTTTTTGGAAAGAGTCTGCTACCGTTGTTCAATCCTACACTCAAAGCAATTACAACGACCAAAACGAAAAGATTATTCATAATTTCAAAGAGTATATATTATTAAGTTTTTGTATAAGTTTCAAAAGTTACTTCACCCAAGAAGTTTATATATATTAGATTTTCGAATTAATATCCTTGCATATTTACTAGGTTGAATTAGGTTGACAACACCAATATATACCTTAATTAAAAATTTAAAACTGAATCTTTGACTCTTTTAATTAGGTTGTTACCTAATTAAATATGCAGATCCAAACTATATATCCTGTGCACATTTAAGAGTTGTTACAACAATCATCACACTGAAAGAAAATAAATGATATTAATTCGTTTCGTTTTGTTTTTGCTTCTAAGTTTTTTTTTTCTTTGGTCACAAAATTTTACTCCCTTGACTTATTTTTCTCTTACTTGTAATTTAATTTCGAAAAAAGCAACCATATCACAGAAGTTGATATTAGTTACAAAGATAATTTATTTGTAATGAAATATTACAATTTACTACGGTGAAATTTGGTTTAAATTTTATTTATTACTTTTTTTAATTCTATTATAAATAAAACCATTACAAGATGGTACAATGGGGATCATACAGTTCAACAAAGCGGAAGAAAATAACAAAGCACACAAAAAATTCCAAAGCATGAAAACTAAGGAAATAAAGAAACGTTTTGAAACCAATTTCGACTAATTGGGTTTAGCCAAACCTACCTCGTCGACCATGATTTCCTCGACTGCGTCTTCCTCTTCCTCCACGACCAATAATTATTGCCTCGTTCGACAATTGCAACGGTCTGTCTTGGAGATGTTTTTCTGAAAATGGTGACTTTAGATTCATTATGAGATCCTCATCTGAGTCCTCAAACTCGTTAGAATCAACTATGTCTGAATCTTCGGGCAGCACCACATCCGATGCTAAATTCAACACCGCAAATTTATTTGAACTAAAAGCTTTGTGGAAAGAAGTATTAGTACTAGATTTGACCCCTGAAGTAAAGGTAGTAATATTTGAAGAGACTTTTGCGGGAGTAGCCATCACTTTCATGGTTGAAGAAAGCATGGCAGTAGTTGAATCTGAAATTTGCAAGACCTCCTTCTCAACTAGCTGATGAACGACAAACACATCCTTACTTGCATCAGTAATTGCTACTGATCTCAAGCCAAAGGCAGCTTCTTCTTTTGAGTTTGAAGAGGAGAGAAACTCGGTGTTAGGATTTACAACAACTTGATGGGGTTTAACCGATGAGTCAACAACTGTTTGGTGAAACCCTTTCATTATCGCTGCACCATTAGAAACAATAGCCGTATCTAATGCCATGGTTGAAGCATTGACAATGCTATTCTCATTCAAAGGAGGAGTACCATTTTTCCAAGCTGAAACAACAGTCTTCTCTAAACCTAGACCCAAACACCTAGATGCTTTATGTCCCAAGTGACCACATAAGCTACACTTAGAAGGCAGCCACCAGTAGACGACATCAACCAGTGCCGGCTTAGGAGGGAGGGCAATGGGGCGTGGGCCCAGGGGCCCATAGATTTTCAGAAATTTTTTTTACTAATTTGAGGGCCTATATTTTGAAAAATGTTAAGTTTAGGAGCCCAAAAAATATTATTTATCCTTAATAGCTTTGAAAATTTGTATTAACCTAAACATTTTTATTTGTCCAAGGGCCCACAAATAACTTGAGCCGGCCCTGACATCAACCATAGTTATTGAGCCACATTCCTAAAAGACTATTAGACAAAATAACAAAGAAACAATTACATTAGACCTATGGTGAGATTCAGAGGGATGGCTATGTTTGTAAGTTTGTTTCAAGAACCCCATGTAAGTAAGTTAGGGATAAGAAAAAAAAAAAAAAAAAAAAAAAAAAGTTAGGGATAAGACATCTTGCCAAACAATATTCTAAACTATAAATTTTAATTTGGAAATTGGAAACTGGATTCCGATAATCAAAATGTTGTGATCTAATTAAATGAATATTGTGAAAAATCAAATCTGCAAGAAAGTATTCATTCCTTACTTTTTAAACAATCTAACCAAGATCCATCAATAACCAATCCAAAGTTACAATCCCATAAATAATTCCCTCAAATATTGAAGTCATATCTCAAACATACATTAGAGTAGACAATAGCATTGTAATATAATGGAAGATGAGGAAGTGAATTATTGGCATAAGAGGAAGTTCGATGTGGAATTAAGAAATATGAAACCATAATTATCCTCCATTAATAGGTCTGTATTGAAGTAGTACTGAGCCAAATATTCATTTGTAACTCCTCATGAATTTTAACTTTTAACATTTGGAGATAAAACAAGTGAAGCAGAATCGAGATTAAAATCTCCTCATGAATTCTTTAAATGCATGTAGAGTACGAGTTTTGATTTGTTGGTATTGAACTTTGATTAATCCTGCATAAAGAGACATAATTAATCAGTGTGAGGCAAAGATGAGAAGAAGAAGAACAACAAAGAGGAATCAGAAGTCACTGAGAAGATCAAAGGATAACCGTAAGAAGAAGATGAAGAAGACGCGTCGGAGGAGTCAACGACGTGAAAAGGTTAACAAGAGGAAATAAGTTGGTGTGGTTTTGTCATTGGGTCATTAACTTAATTAGGCCCAAATGTGAGTGTGTTTTGATGTTTTAAGTCTAGCTAAGTAGAAATAAATCGTCAAGTATAGTGGCTAAGAGTGGTTAAAGATGTTGATGGTAGATTTTGGGCTCAGGCCCAAAATTCTTAGCCAGCCCATCGTCTTCTGCGGCCCAGTAAACCTGGAATACAGAAGCCCAAGAAAAGCCCAGTAAACGTTTCTCCACCGACCAAAGGGCAAAAAGGACATTTCACACGTGTAGGGTACCCTATCTCTGCACCCTATAAATAGAGAAAGAGAGTGATTGGACGCGGATCCCGAAAAAAGAACGGTTTTCGGCAGAGAATACGATACAACCGTCAGAGAACTTTGCGGCTCGGCCTGTTAACTTAGAGATTAAGCTCGTCTATTTTTGTAATTGTCAAGTTCGTCATTTAACAAGAGATTCTTCTTTCTTCCCTTGAGAACTCGTACTTGTGTGATTTGAGGATCAACAGTTGGCGCGCCAGGTAGGGGGACAACTCGAAGATTTCTCTCAGAACGACGAGCCTACAACACGGAAAATGGCAGATGCATTTCTCAACGCTCTCGGTGCCAGCGCGTCCAGTTCGGGAGGAGAAGCGTGCACTCCAGTCGACGCACCGCCTTCTTTACCCCCGACACCAGAAGGACCAATTGCAGCAGCAACGGGGTCGCCTCCGGCGCCACATCCCGACGCCCTGGCGGCACCTCCGAGCGAACGTAACCCAGCGAACCCACAGGCCGATGCTAGGGCCGGGATGAACCAAAGGAGCCAAGGCCGCACTGAACCGGACGACCTGCTTCAGAACATCCTCGCGCACCTGAGCCAACAAGAAGAAAGGACGAACGTGCGACTCGAGTCTTTGGCAGCGGCCCAAGCTTGCGCTCAGGACGAAATCAACCGCCTAAACGCAAGTCAGACGCAAGGTGTGCGACCCACTCAAGGAAACCTAGTACCAGCTCGGCAAATCCATCCTGTTACTTCATCAAGCGAAAGTGCCCGGGATCTTGAACTTGCCGAACTGCGACGCATTGTCCTAGACATGAATACAAAGGTTCATAAGGCCATAAGCGCCGCACCAGAACTCGACCGCGTCCTCGACGAAACACAGCAAACACCCTTCACTCGGAGAATAACCAGTGTCTCACTTCGAGGGCGTCAGAAGATTAAGCTCGAGCCCTACAACGGAAAGGGCGACCCGAAAGAATTCCTAACATCGTTCAGCATAGCGATCAACCGAGCCGAACTAACTGACGAAAACTTCGAAGCTGGACAGTGCCAGATTTTCACCGAACATCTAACCGGCGCCGCCCTCAACTGGTTCTCAAGGCTTAAGCCGAATTCAATCAGCAGTTACCGACAACTGTCCGTAACGTTCCTCAAGCATTACTCGCCGCTCATACAGAACCAAACGACTAGTGCCGACCTCTGGTCCCTCTCACAAGGACCTACGGAGTCCCTCCGATTGTTCATCGACCGTTTCAAAGACGTCATCACCCGAATCGTTATACCAGACGAAGCCGCGATCGTGGCCCTACGCAACGCGGTGTGGTACGACTCCAGATTTAGAGATGATATCACGCTCCACGTCCCAAACACGCTCGAAGATGCGCTTCATAGAGCAACGAGGTACATCGAGCTAGAAGAGGAACGGCTCGTTCTCTCACGAAAGCACGGTATGACGAAGGCACCGGCGCCGAAAGAAGCTCCCGTAGTGAAGCCTACGGAGCCAAAACAACATCTAGACCGCAATACGAGCCAAGGAAGAAAGCCGGCCACGTTCGCCATAAATAGCGAAAACACGACGCACAAACCTTGGAACAAATGGTCAAGAGACACCGATGCCGATGCAACAGGGCCGGTATATTGTGCATATCATAAGAGCAAGGCCCACGCAACGGAGGATTATCGTTACCTGCAAGGACTCCTCATGGCTAAGTACAAGAGCGGCGGCATCACCATCAAATGCGACCGCGCCCAAGGGAGTAATAAAAATCAAAGACGTAACGAGACGACTGCCCGGCAATTCCTTCAAAGTCAAGCCGAAGAAGCCGGTGGAGACGACGACCAAGCGAATGATCCGGCCAAAAGGCAGCGCCAAGGCAAGGCTATCGCCGACGCTCCCGTCGTCGTCCGACAAATTCATATGATCATGGGTGGCCTCCAGAATTGCAACGATTCGGTCCGTTCAATCAAACAATACCGAAAGAAGGCCGAAATGATGTAGACGTGGCCAGCGACTCCGAGCCAACCTTCAGAGGAGATCGAACCCATTTCTTTCACGAAGGACGACCTCGTAGGGATCGATTTCCCCCACAACGACCCACTAGTCGTCGAGCTCATCGTCAGCGATAGCCGCGTCACACGCGTCATGATCGATACAGGCAGCTCAGTCGACTTGATTTTTAAAGATACTCTCACCGCGATGAATGTAGCCAACCGACGTATAAAGCCGCGCTCTCGACCACTGGCCGGGTTCGATGGCGACTTCATCATGTCTCTAGGCACTATCAAACTGCCCATGTTCGTTGGCGGAACGATCGCCTGGGTGAAATTTGTCGTCATTGATAAACCGGCGATATACAACGTAATCTTGGGGACGCCGTGGCTTCATCAAATGCAGGCCATCGCGTCCACCTACCACCAGTGCGTCAAGTTTCCCACTCATCAAGGAATCTTCACCCTCAGAGGAAATCAGCAAGTAGCGCGGACGTGTTTCCTGATCGAACACAAGAACCGCGCCGAAAAGAAGTTATAGCAACCAAAGAAAGAGGAGCCCGCGCCAAGCTCCGTAACAGTAAAGGCGCCGGGAAAGTCCTATGAAGAATCGGAGCTGAGCCGAACAGAACTCGTGAATATTGACGCGTCAGATCCACTACGATGTGTAAACATCGGAGCGGAAATTAGTTCAGAAATCAGAACGGCCCTCGTGGCCCTCCTCACAGGGAACTCGTCGACCTTCGCTTGGAGCGTCGAAGACATGCCGGGTATCGACCCCTCAATAACGTCTAACGAGCTAGGCGTGGATCCAACATTCAAACCTGTGAAGCAGAAAAGACGCAAACTGGGTCCAGAACGAGCCAAAGTAGTAAATGACGAGGTCGAAAAGCTATTAGGCGCCGGCTCCATTATTGAAGTCCGTTATCCGGAGTGGTTGGCAAACCCCGTCGTAGTAAAAAAAAAGAACGGTAAGTGGCGGGTGTGCGTCGACTTCACCGATCTAAACAAGGCGTGTCCAAAGGACAGCTACCCTTTACCACATATCGACCGGCTCGTTGAGGCCACGGGAGGAAACGAGCTCCTATCGTTCATGGACGCCTTCTCCGGGTACAACCAAATCCTCATGCATAAAGACGACCAGGAAAAGACGTCCTTCATCACTGATCGCGGATCGTATTGCTACAAGGTGATGCCTTTTGGTCTGAAAAACGCCGGAGCAACGTACCAACGCCTCGTCAACAAAATGTTCGCCGAACATCTCGGCCGAACTGTCGAAGTCTACATCGACGACATGCTCGTTAAATCTCCGAAAGCGGACGACCACGTTCAGAACCTCCGACAATGCTTTGATGTCTTAAACAAATACCAGATGAAGTTGAACCCGGCCAAATGTACGTTCGCGGTTACTTCTGGCGAATTCTTGGGCTACGTCGTTACCAAGAGGGGGATAGAAGCCAACCCAAAACAAATTCGCGCTATATTGGAACTACCTTCCCCCAGAAACGCTAAAGAGGTACAACGGTTAACCGGACGGATCGCCGCCCTTAATCGATTTATCTCAAGGTCAACAGACAAGTGCTTGCCATTCTACAACCTCCTAAAGCGGAGAGATAAGTTTACTTGGGACGACGCAAGTGAGAAGGCATTC